AAGGGTCGGTCACGGGATGGGTGACCCAAAAATTATTATCTCGAGCTACTCCGTGCTTCGGAAGGCACGTTAAGCCGTTGGTCCCGGCTGCATTTGCAGTCGTTAATACTTTCCAATCCGCATTGGGCCAGCGTGGAGAGGGTCATGGCCCATCATCCTTAACCATCCATAAGGAAGGCCTGCATTGGGGATGTAAAAGGGCTGATGATGAAATAGTTTATTTTAAGTTATTGTATGCTGTTTAACAGTTAAATATGAGAAACTTATATTCCTTGACATCTTCTTTTTTGTAAAGCATATTTTATTGAAATAAATAAATGAATTGATTTGAATTAGCTTTAAAAGAAATGAGGAAAATCTTTCATATAGTTTATCTGAATTCATTTCATCATCACAATCACCGGCCTTCAATATCCACACAGCTAGAGCGCAGGCCTTCCCAATGGATGGAAGCAACTTAAATCGAATAGTGAGAATGGGCCATGAACCACCACGCGGGCCTAGCGCGGATGATGGGTGTTGACGACTGCAGATACAGTCGGGACCAACGGCTAGACGCGCCTTCCGAAGCACGGAGGAGCTCGAGATACAAAATTTTTTACCGACCGGGCCTTAACAGCTGCAGCAGCTACATAGGCTTGTGTCCTACAAGTGAAAATACAGGTTTTTGTTATATCTTCGAAAAATATGAACCATTTTAACTTATAATTGTTTAACAAAACAAATTTTAAGTCACTGATTTGGAAAATTTTACGCTTTGAAAACTTGAAAAAAGTAGAAAAAATCTACTACAAAAATTTGCTAAAAGTACATTAGACATTAAATTAGATATAAAAAATGTTACAATTTTCATTATAACAACTATAAACATAAACGCACAAATAATAAAGATATTACAAAAAATGTCCAGACGCCAATACATTTTTCGCTACAGTACCACCATGTGACGTCACTTAGTGCCTTGAATTTGTAGGGAGCGTTTTCGGCCAACTAGCAGCAGTTCTACAAACACAGCACCGTATCTCCGAAACTATTAATCGCAGACATGCTGTTACTTCGACATTATTTCTCAGATGTTAATGGACTATTTATTTATGAAATAAAAAAAAAAGTTGGCAACTAGCCTATTCTGTCTAAAAAGAATTCTCCTGTGCTTTAAACTAACAAGATGTTTAACACTTTCTGCCATGTCAACAGTCGATGTCCTTATCATACAAATAGCATGACATTTACATTACAGTGTGATTCTGTTAACACATTAAATATTGGAACGAACGCTGATAGAATTCGAAAACGCCGCTGGTGCCTCACTGATGAATATGGGTGAGTTAATTTCATCTAAAAAAGGCTATTTTTTATATTTTGGTCATGGCTATTTGGCTACAAATAATTTCTTTTACTACGAATCATAGCTTTTAATAGTAAATTGAATTATTTCATTTAGATGTATTAGTGGCCTTTCATTCTGTTTTATTGTATAAAAATACAAAACAATATTAATTGATTCATACTTATCTCAGAAATATGCATTCTTATGTCATTTTGAATCTTACTTTAATTGTGCCATAAAACATATTGAAAATACCTATTCAAACTTAAACCGAATCGTTTTTGAAGTGAGTTCTGGCACCTGAGTGAATCGAGTTCAGATTTTAACGGATCCGCTTGCTGCCTCAGCATACCTCAGCCTTCCGAAGCACTGATAAGCTGAATATAATATTTCCTTTTGTCAAACGCAATGACTTTCCTAAAGTTCGTTATCGAGTTAATGAATTTAATTACCTACTTTTTCCTTATTTAGGTAACGATAAAGTTTAGCAAAACAGTAGTAGAATAATATAATCCTCCCATTATTTTAAGGCTAATTTGCATTGAATTGCGCCGAAACTGGGTGAAAGTGGTTTGAGCGAGCGAGACCTGCGCCCGCGCCTCTTCATCAGGCACTGACCGGTTACACGAGCGAGCGTCCACGTGATTGTCTTGACTTTTAATTACAATACAGTTGTAATTAGTGCTACTTTAATTTTATTTTATTAAGGAGGCTATCAGCTCATATTATGAAGTAGAAATATTTGATTGTTACTTGGCATTGAATGAGCTCCGAAATTACCGGACCGATTTAAAAATTCTGTCACCTACGGAAAATTACATGATAAATTCATGACAAAGGCTAAGCTATATATAATTAAGGCGGTAGAAGTCGCGGTAAAACTGTAGTATATTACAAAATTACACACAATTACCTTTAATACGTTGTATTTTAATACTTTAATAGCGTGTATACATTTTTTTTTCTATTACGTAATCCTATTAATTCTATTATTCTATTAATATTATAAATGTAAAAGTTTTTTTGTTTAGATGTTTGGATGTATGTTGGTCAATCACGCCGAAACTACTGAACGGATTTTGATGAAATTTGGTATACAGATAGGGTATTAGCTGACTTAGATAATAGGATTTTATTTCACTTAACATTTCCTAAGGCCCATACGGGCGAAGCAGCTGACGAAAGCTACTGTGCTATATATACTTCATCTATCTTGGTTTTAATATGGACTATTAAAACCAATTTTCAATACATCTGAACTTCATTGATCTCTTTCCTACTCCACTGCCGAAAAATACGTAAATTAGAGCAGGATAAGACGAATTAGTTTACACATCCAAAACGCATAAATCACTTATTGAAAGAAATATGGTGTCTATTGTGTACGCGTTATCGATTAATAATGATCGAATGACTGAATGAACGAATTAATGTTTTAGAGGCAGGTTGTTACTTTAAATCGGAAATGGGTTCGACTCTAGGTGTGACTAATATGGAGGATTTAGTTATATTTATTATTATTAATTAAGCTGAATGGGTCACAAAATAATATTATTTTGTTCATTAATTATATATATATGATTAAGATTTAAGAAAATAAATACAAAGCCAAAAAATAAGCAAAGATATTTTTATGGATTATTTATCATTTATCATTTCAAAAAAGTATTCAGTTCAGTTATTTTTTTATCGAAAACTGGTGCATACTTTTATTCAGTCAAAAGGTCAAATCATCATTCATCAATCACTGGCATAATTATTATAACAAAATGACGTGATAAGCTTTCTAAGTGTCTTCCATCTAAGTTTTACGGTTACTAAGCACGAGCGACATTACTTTGATATTAAATGTAACTTTGAACATCCACTTAAATATATAATATCCTTTCACTATATAATATCTTTTTATTCACGATATAATATCTTTTATATTAAGCTATAATTATATTTGAATATAATAGGATTAAAAACATATTAGTTTATGTTATTATAAATCCACTTACAATTAGATTTAAGAAATTACCGATTTTTATGACTTTTATTTTAACTTTATATTAATATTTTGATAAATAAAGAGCACATGAAATATTTTTTTATTTTTTTTTATTTACTGTTTAGCTGTATATGAATATTTTTTAAAGATTTAAGCTATTATAAAATTATAGCAATCTATCGATTACTCGCATAGCTTAGATAGTGTAGGGCATACTTTTAACACGTGCACGATGATATTATACAATACACGCAAAACTAGTGTTACTACAATCTACACTAGAAAGCATCGTATTATTGCTTATCGATCATATGTGAATGTAATCAACAAGAAAACAGCTCTTATTTCAACGCAAGAAAGGTCAAGGAATCCAACCTTTTTAATTGGTGAATGAAGATATTATACTTATTTATTTCAATAACAAATTTCGCAAAACAAAAACACAAAAATTTACAGCGTCCGATTAGAGTCTACGATTTGTGTGTCCGTTAAAGTATACTATATATAGTTATACTATGAAAATAGTAGTGCAACAATAAAATGTAATTCTATATTGAAAAAGACATTTTTCTTTTATTCGATCACAATTACAACAGACAACAACGTATTTCGAACATTCGTTTGTTTTGAAACTGTTTTACTAAATATTTAATACTTTTGTTACATTTAACAACCTCCGTAGTAATTGTAGACTAAAATTATATACTTAGTTCTAAGCAATAAATTTAAAAGATATGAAATTTAATTATTTTGATAAATTGATAATATTACCATAGATTTGATAATATATTTCCCTGACAATTTGGAACCGAAAATTATTAAAAACATTTAAGCCATAATGTAAAAATATTTAAACATTCCCATCACTAAAGATGGTGAAGGTAAATAAGTGTTAAAAAAAAAACAAATCTAATCCCAAAACTCCTTTTTATCTATTACGATTGACATAACGTAATAATTCTAATGAAATGTTCGGAACGTGTAATGATGAGTTCGCATTCTTCCCCCAATTACGTCCACTCACTACAATATTATTTGCGCCGGTTACGTATTATAATACCACTGCGGATGTGCCCGCGCACAGATGGTGTGAATTTGAGGTGCAACTTGTTACGCAACAAGATTCGGACCGGGTACATATAGAGAAAGTGCAACCTGCAACCGAACCGAGCGATATTCGTTAATTTTAGCTAACACTGATGCAATAGACCTCCATGGCATTATAGTTGTAAACTTTCTAAGGAGTATGTATTATTATTTAGTCTATGTCAATATTAGAATCCATGTAAGGAGGTCGGAATCCAAAATTTCGAATTTGGAATGAATGTTGCATGACGCTTCCACTCGAGTGTCATAAAAGTAAAAGTGACCGGACAAAGGCCTTCTCAGACTTATCTACAAGCTTTACCGCATTACGTCAACCACCTTCACTCCTTGACATGTCCGCCGTAAAGTCGATCGATGGTCTGCTACTTTCGATTTCAGTCCGATTTTATCGTCCATTTAGTAAGTCCTCCAGCCAAACTCGCCGTTTGCGATTACTCACTTACCATATCTGGTTTAAATTACAACTGTTGCGTTTGGTGGCCTACACTCATTAACCGTCAAGTTTAAGATGTGAAAGTGACGCAATTACCCGTTCCGACAGTTTCGTACGTGCCAAATAAAAGATTAAAGTGTTGTTACAAAAAAGGAGGTATATTTACAGAAACTTACATTAACAACAATATAATACATATTAAATCTAGGATGCGATCACATGATTTTTTAACATTAATGGGATGAGATGACTAAGTTTGCGTTTCGTTTAATGATGGGGGGCGCCGTAGGACGATGAGGGAGATGGGACTCCGTATGAGCCGGATGGCACACCGATTGTCGTGTAAGTGACTGAGGGGGCGGAGTAGGAGATGGAGCCGTGACTGTCGCCACCGCCGGAGTATCCTCCGTGACCACCGCTGGAATATCCACCGGAGTAACCGCCCGAGTATCCACCGGCGTATCCACCGGCGTAACCACCGGCGTAACCGCCAGCGTATCCTTCTTCAGCCTGGTGGTATTGAGCGACTTGGAGACCTTGTTGGATATGATCGAGTTCGATGCCAACAATTCTGTCGTGAGGAACACCGTAGACTGGTGCTGGTGGGCCGTAGTGAGAAGATATGCCGTGTCCATGACCATGGGATGCAGAGGCTGATTGGTAGGCCTGGTTCTGGATCTCGTCTTTAAGGATGATGTGCTTTATCTTCTCGAGGAGATGGGGGTCGACGTTGTAGCCTTCTGAGGTCTGGTGGCCCACTGGGACGCGGGTGTAATGACCTCCATGGCTAAGGCCTCCGGAGCTGTGGCCTCCTCCGACCACGATCAAGGATGATGAGGGGGCGGAGTAGCTGTAACCCACTGGGGGCTCGGCGAGAGCACACCCGACCAGCGCCAACGCGACCTGTGGGAAAACGACACAATTTAATATAAAACAGTCCTATTCGTTGTTCTACTTTCAAATAATGCATCAACGACTTGTTAAATCCTTTTTCTTTCTAATAAAATAAATGTTTAATTTACGCGAAAATTGTATTAAAACCTTTTTTTAACTAAATATATTCAACCCTATTTAGACTTTTTGATAGAATAATTAAAATTACGCGGAAACTATTTATTAAAACCTTTTTTTTAAACTAAAAATTTAACCGTATTTAGAAAAAAGTAGTATCGGCAAGGAAATAAATGCCCTCGTCTTATGTAGATGCAGACGCGTAATCTCTTGAATATGTATCACGCGCATTTAATCTGGCACGTAACTAACGCAATAGTTTACTTCAACGTGTGATCCTTTTACGTGATAAAGAATGCGTCACTCTCGAATTGAACGATGCCATTTGGACATTAGCATAATTAAATTGTGCTACACTATTCCCGGTACAATTATGCGTCTGTAAAATCACTGGACGGAATTATTCTGAAGTATTTAACGTCACGAAAGCTCCACACTTTTGCTTATGGCCACAAACACTGCACTCCAAATGTTTCGTTGGTTTCGAAAAATCAACTTACAATGCTCCACTTGGCCATTTTAGGATGTGATCAGCACAATACTCTTGGGACGTATGATGCTGGGTCGCACGGTCACTCGCTTATATACGAGGGGAATCTACCATCTACTTTTACTTTGAACCATCCGCTATTTGCGAGGACGAACGCGGGTTACAAATTGACTATTTTTTTTTTATCATATTGTAATCATTTTTTTTTTCTTGTGGCGTTTAAATTTTTTTTCAAAGCAGGTCGATTTTCGTATATGTTATCGAGTTTCGATTTTTATTCTGTTATGTATTGTTTTATTCAATTAATTATTTTTTATTTTGGTTACTTGTTAGTTTAACTGGGTCTTTATTACGTTAATTATGTTGTAACTTTAATTAAATTTCATTCTTTTTCATTATTAAATACAATGGAATGTTTTAAATGTTATTCGTTGAAGGAATTTTATTACGTTAGTTAATGTGTAAAAGTATTATCTAAGCGTAAATTCAATTGAGAATTCAAATTAAATCACTGTGAAATTCTTTAAAAATTATAACGATAATACTGGCATTTTATTTTTAAGATTTCACTAGAAAATGTAAATCATTAAAAACGTTTAAGATTGGAAAGCAATTTGCAAACGTTCACTTGTAAGATCATTAATAACTCTTAATAGTGTGTTCAGATACTATAGGTATGATCTATGATTTGCAATGCTGTTTCCTGTTTGCAGAATATTTATATATATATATAATTAGACGTTTGAAAACGTGTCAAGGGATAAACGCTCCTACCTGCTAGAAGAGTAATTAATGATGGCTCTATTGCCGCAAACTAGACTAAATTTAATTTTAATCAAGTCAAACTGATTTAAACTCTAAGTAAATATGATAATAGAAGCAAACTTGCTATGTTGCGGCATCAATCGTTAAAATAACGATCAGTTTATTAATTTTTTCATCGCTAGGGCACAGAAATCGACGCGGCTAGCCGCGGGATGGGTTCGCAAAGATCCTTAAGGTAGCGCGCGCACTCAAACACTTGACGTAATAATTGCACTTCAATGGTGTTTTCATTGATAGCATTTTCACATTGATTAATCTACCTGATGCCAAAAATTATTGGCCTACTCTCAATAATACTTCGCATGTTGATGTGGATCAATGATGATAGGATGTATGATATTATTCTCTTGTTATTTTGTGACAGAACTGTGTCGAAAACTTCTACCGACTGACACGCCAGATTAGCATTGAACCCCTGGAAACTTCTATCAACTGTGACAGAAACAATAAGTAACGATTATAAGAGAGAACCAGTGCGCGAACAGCTTAAGACACATAATTTGACAGCTTACCTTAAGATTATAATAATATGAATATTTAATTAAACTTTCGCATACGATTTGCACAACAACATCTGCCATTTCATAATTTGAATAATTTCTCTGTGAAATAATCTTTACAAGTACATTAAAAAAGTTTGTATTTCCAATAATACCAATTCGATGCAAACAAACAAGTATTTCTTCTGTATAAAATTAGTATACACAAACTTGGCACGTAATTTCACTTATATGTAATACCATCTCATGGTGCCGTGGGCAGGTGGGACTTTTAAGCATTTTTATTATAGATTTTTAGCAGTATAGCATTGTGACTGTAAATTTATCAAATATATTAAATATTGTCTTGTCCCGATATACTATTAAGATAGAAGGTGTGTTCCTTTTCAAAATAGTGTATATAGTAGCAGTACAGAAGAAGTATGAAGCCTTAGTAAATATGACAACTACTGTCTGTCATCTCTTTGCTTTCAAAAATGACAATGAAATAACAAATTATCTCATTGTCACTTTATGCCGGTGTTTCAAAAGTCACTTTCTATTCTATAGAATGGAATGTGATTTTATAATATTATGAAATAATTTTTGATTTCGAGATAACTCTTTTAAATAAAACAGGGAGAAACAAGCAGCCTATCCTGTATTTCTTGCCGGTTCTTCTCGAATCAGATTTGCGAACCGATGTCATGGCTTTCGACTTTCACATGTGCTTCTAACAAACTAGACTGAATAAATAATTTTAAAATTAAATTTGTTGTTTAGATACTTTGTGAACTGAGCTGTATTACGTAGAAATATTATTTTATTTTATATAGGTTTTGTTGTAGCTTTAGTAACGCAAACGTAAACATTTCCCGCCGAAATAATATAGTTTAGATTCAATACATACGAATAAGAGTATATTTTTAGCTGTATATCAGTATATTTTGGTCACCCATCCAATCACCAACCTTTGGGAAAGTTGCCTAACATCAGCAATCGTGAACTCCCACATTGTAAAATCATTGTTCTACATACAAGATCTAGACTTTGATGCAACAGTATCATCGCGTTACGTTATCGGCGTTCGATTATAGATCAATTGAAATATATACATCATATGTGATTACTATGACATGAAATATGTATAATTATTCTTTTCATAGTTAATGATCAAAAATGTCAAGGTTTAAAGTGTTTCACAATCTAAAATAATTACTAAGATAGTTTCCAAATTGTAAATGTGTGATTTTATTAATTTAATAAATTTATGTATAATAACTCAAAGTTGAATTTTAGTGTTAAAAAAATGGAACCCATTTCAAATTTAAAAAAGTGAAAAATAACACTTATCTTAAAGGCGTTTAATTTTTTTAAGCAACATTGAAGTTTGCTGAGGTTTTCTGTAGTTTTCTGTAGTAAAATATTTCATGCATTTTAATGATATTTTCAGATTTGGGGTAACAAACATCCCAACACTTAATGTAAATTTAAGACTTATATGGTTTTCTCATAGATGCCATTACAAATGGGATCACAGGACAAGCACTAACTTTCAAATAAAGATAGAATCATCATAATCAGTCCACCCAGTAAAAAGTTATGAGTTAACAAACAGAAAAGAAATAGAGTCGAATTGAGAACCTCCGCCTTTTTTAAAGTCGGTTATAAATATATGTAATTATCGTCTCCAATGCAATCTGTTTACTTAACTATGTTGGAGGCCAATCTTCTTTAGAAGCTGTTTTTAAATTATATTGTTAAAAGATATTGTTCTTGATTTATAATAGTTAATGTCAATTTCTACATTGCTTTTTATTACATGAATATTTTTTGGAAACTTTGTATGTATCTGTTTAATTCGGTCCTAATATACTAGCTGTTTTCTCGTGACTTCGCCCAAGTAATTTATACTTAGCTTATATCACTCACGTATGATGCAGCTATGAATTTCATGATCGGAACAGAAACAATAGAAACTTTCATCATCAGCCCTTTTAAGTCTCCACTGCAGGGGCTCAGGTCTTCCTTATAGATGCTTACGGAGGTCCACGTTGACCCAATGCGGCTTGGAGGGTATTAACGACTGCAAACGCAGCCGGGACTAAAAGCCTTCTGGAGCACGTAGCAGCTTGAGATAATAGTTTTTTGATCACCCATCCTTAAAGCCTTGTATCGTAGGAACCTGAAACAACGAAGATATCACAAACATAGAAACAGAAAAAAAAATCTATACAACTATTAAAGCTTAAAGCCGATTACGGAATTGGCTAACTTGATGACTGCACTTAAAAAAAGTAAAAGTACAAACCTGATTAATGTCGAACCATGAGAAACGCTTTCAATTTATATAAAACTTCTTATATTTATTTTAAGCAGCCCCTTGCCTATTATTTATCGTTTTATTCGATTGAATCATGTATGGGTTACATAACATATCATTTAATTTTTATCATAAATATAATTTATAAATTGAAGAAAAAAAAACACATTATCATGATGAGAGAGTCATTACTTTGACACTCCTGTCGTATTGTATTAAAACAAGTTCTGATCTTGTGAATGAGCTTAAAAACAACTTGATCCACCAGTTAATAATGATATTTCGAAATAAAGTTAATAGAAAATAGGAAAAATAAAAACATTTTTGAATAAATACATAACTTTTAAAGTTTTTCATTTATTCCATAAAACGAATCTTGTCAATCCTGGCACTTTGGCACACTGAGCTACCCAGGACCTAACAGGACTTGCGAATTTTTCAAGCACTTGTTCTCAGAGTGCCAGGGGTAAAGTGGATTTTGAGCATTTTCATATAAATAATTTTCAGTGAATGCCAAATTGCTCAAATTAATAAAAAGGTTTTATGTTGGCCGTAATCTCTGATTTTGTACTTCTATGTTATTATAATTTCTATTTCAAATTGTAGATATACGAGTAGAAAAAACACCTAAATAATACTTCAAATACTACGTTGATTTTTGGTAGAAGATAAAATATAAACACAGTATTATCACTGCAAGCTTTATTATCAAATTTAGCATTAAAATTCTTTTTTGGTTTTAAGTTAGAAACTAAAACAGATTCGATGTAAGACAACGAGTCCTTGTTAACGTCTCGTAAAGGCATTCGGACCAAATACCGGATGGTAAACAGTGATTTGCCCATCTGGGTCATCAACTATGTTGTGTTTAAAAAGAACTTCTTAAAAAAACCTCGTAATTATTTAAATTACGTCAATTTACAATTTAATGATATCTTTTCAACTAACTTGACGATTTGTTTAATACTCTTTTTAAGCTCTATCTTATTGTATCATATAGGAAAATATATTAACAATGAAATACCGAAAAAACATTTCATTAAATAGTGAGATCATTTTTTTAATTTTTTAATGGTATCCTTGTCGTAATGCGACATTCATGTACTAATTCAGTAATGTCTATTTTATGTTCTTTCTTCCAGAATTTTGTTTATTAATTTGGATAAAGCGATCTGTAAAATATACGTACCCCTATTGGAACAGTTTATGATCTCCGCCGAGATTCGAGAACGGCCTTTACTGATATTTCCAAATACATTCACTCTATAAATATCTAAAGTCAAGCTTCTTTCATTCATTCTCTTCGTGGGCCCATCGAAGTATACATTCAACCTCTGAAAGGCTTATTGGGTATATATTAACATTTATTGGGTTGTTACGTTTTTTTGGTGAAAATTAGACACGATTTTTTAAATATAATACAATATATAATATATTT